CAAAAATAATAAAAATCTAGAATCGTTCTGTGCTCAGATTGCTTTGCAAATGTCTTGAAATTCTCACCCTGCTTTCAAGAAAGCCAAGTGGAAACCTCAGACAGTGCTTATGGGTGTGGTTTGTGCAAGAAAGACAATCAGGGCTTTGGGCTTAAAGACAAGCCTTTGGCTGCTCATCAAACAATTGGCGAGTGGATATACATGTGTTTTAAGTTTAGAACGAACTGTTAAAGGTGTGTGTGTCATTGGTATGATTTCCATGCTTTAACCTACTTTTGTAATTAACTAGTTAACCATCAGGAAAGATAAATGTTTGACCTTATTTCTTTAACTTAGAAGGTAATCATTAATTTATTCATTCAGTATTTAACAAATACTTATTGAGCATCAACTGAGTCGTGCTCTCGGTGCCAGTACACAAATCCTGCCTTATTAATACTCTGAAGTTCCACACTGCGACCCAGCCCTGGACTGCTACTCCCGTCCTTGCACGCTCCCTCCTCCTTCTTCCATCCATTTCCTCCTCCTCCTCTTCCTCCTCCTCCTCCTCCTCCTCCTCCTCCTCTTTCTCCCCATTTCCTGATCACTGACTGACCCCAGGGCCCTTCCAATTATCTCACATTTCTTTATCCCTTAGGAGAAGTTCTATTTCTGTAACTGATCACACCTCAAGTATCACTACTTTGCATTTTCTCTCTCACACACACAAATGCATTTCCTTAGCCCATTTCTCTCCTCCTTTCTGTCTTCCAGGTCTTTTTTTCAGTCAGTCACCCCTGTATTCCCACTCTCTCCTTCCCATTTGGTTATATTTCTAAGTGGAAGAGCTGACAGGCATTAAAGTAATAATACTTTACTGAAGTATATATCAAGAAAAGGAAAAAAACCCTAAGTTCTCAAAGACTAAAACCAGACACTTGACCTAAGGCCATCAACTGTAAAACCCTTAAAATGATCCAGAACTCCCCTTCCAAACAGCTATAAAAATCGCCAACTCACTCTGTAATCGCTCTAATTACATCTGTATTTCTTCAAAAACTACTGTTCAAACTAAAAATTGCCAAATCAGTTTTATGTCCTGCCATTTTTACCACCTCCTTGGCATTTAATACTTTTGTTTTCTTCCATGTTTTCATTGGAAACATAAAACATGTCAGCTCTACTGAAGCACGCTGAGAGGCAATGAAGAGAAGTCGACCTCGCAGCTGGCTGCAGAGATCTTGCTGGCTGGCCAGGGTAGGTACCCCTTGTCACTTATTGCCCTGTTTGTAGTGAGAAAATTGTGTTTCCTTTCAGTCACTGAACAAACAAATAGGGGCATAAATGTGCCTGCAATAAGAGAAAAATACATGGCTTGTAGCAAGTCTTTAAGAAATATAAACACTTCTGTGTTACTTAGTGCCATTTCCTCTCCAATTTGTCACAGACGACAAACACTTCTTCATCAAGCTTGGGTCTACTCTTTGGTCTAAATGGGTTTTAGTCTCCATGAATTTTTCATGACTTCCTGAGTTTATCCAATATCCAACAACTTGCTAACCAGCTCATTGGGAGTTAAAATTGTAGTGCTTTTCTCTGCTACTGGATTTGACTGGGATTCTTTTTATTAGGATAGATCCTGAGCAAGACAGAGGTTGCTGTGTTAATACCCAGGGCTTTGCTGTCCCTTTCAGTGAGAGGGGAGCTGGATTTCTGATTCTCTGTGGCTAGGCAAAAACGAGGAAGAGATGTTTAGACTAAATCTCTGCATATCAGAATTGTGAATTCCCTTCAATGTTTTTGGGTTTTTTTCACAGATTTTCTTGGGAGCTAACTTCTCATTGCAACCTGCTTTCTCTATATGTAGAGAAATCCTGTAGCTTTTCCAATGGATCTTTATCCTTTTGGTTGCTTCGATAAACATTAGAAATCCCTTGGTATGTGTGTGTTTCTCATCTCCCAATTGTGTCAAAAACCTCTCACTCTTAAAGCAATTGTAGCCTCTCAGAACATTTTGCAAAGCATTTAAAGAAAAGACACTCTGGGCTTTTTGGATATGTTTGTTTGTTTCTGGTTAAAATATACATAGTTCTAAAAACAGAAGGGAAAAGGTTCCTGTGTACTTGGTTTATGAAGAAGGCGATTTGGTGGAAATGTGCAGTGGAGATCTAGCATAGAATAAGCCATTCTGGGCCCAGGGATTTAGCTCAGTGGTTCCACCACCTGTCTTGCAAGTGCAAGGACCCGAGTTCAATCCCCAGTACCAAAAAAAGAAAAATCAACCAATCAATCAGCCAACCATTTGGGCCGGGGATTTAGCTCAGTGGTTT